CACACACACACACACACACATATATATATATATATATACACACACATATATATATATATATATATACACACACACACACACACACACGACATATATATATATATATATATAGTACTATTCCAAACTGAAGATATTGAGCTACTTTCAATTTGCAGTAGCCTCGGGGTCTATCGATAGTGGTGGGGGAGGTTTTGACTGCGGCAAATATAAGAAAGCGAAGAGCTTCTGCACTGGGGAGCTGAGTACTCATGAAGATGATGATGACGTAGGTCGTATCTCACAGATGCTCCATGTATCTACTGAAGTACACAGAAAGGCACGATACAAATACCTGAATGACACAGCAATGACAGCTGATGCTCTGATGTGCGGCGAGATCATGAGCACTGCAAGGTCATTCGTAGTCTTGTCTATTTTTTTCGGATCCAGTCGGAATGGGAACTATCTAAATCGTTTCCGTCGCGTAGACTTGCCCAGCATACAGTTTCTGATCTTCATCGCAAACCCTGGCCATGTTCATTGGTCTCTTATGGTGTTGGATATGGACAAGCAACTGGTAGATCCTTGCATGCCAGTGTACATTCTGAATAGCATGTATGGTTCAACGACACCGTACTATTACAAACAAAGGATTGAGTCAACCCTTAACTTTAAGCGGTCTAGCGAGAATACACGTACATTAGCCCCTCCAATCCATCTTGAGGTATCAAGCCAAGACAATAATTTCGACTGCGGTGTACACACACTGCTTAATTTGCGAAATGTTTTAGTGAATCCGCGCCAATTCCTAGATCAGCCCGTTGAATCAACTGCTCAAGATATATATAATATGAGAATACGAATTCACTCATTCTTCAACTTCTGTTGGAATGCAGTGAAGCAATATCGTACCTCTATGGATAGTAATATTAAATTAGAAGATGTTGCTGTCGAATCAGACAGTTTTCACATCTTGGAGGAAAACAAGAGCAAATTCAGTGTTGTGGACCAGAACCAGGATTTCGAATCTATGAGAGAGACCGTCGATGACAACATCAGTTTGAGTGCCGATTCAGAAGCAAGATCTACTACAGGATCAGGATCTGAGACAGATATGTTTCTGACTGATGGTAGTATCTCAATAGAGGAGCTGTATGAATACGACATTGATCAGAACATACGGAGAAGCATCAGTTGGTCTGAGCTAAATGAAACTTCAGGGTGGCAGGATGACCTCCCGAGTATAGAACTCGTGGATAAACTTACCCACAGGTTCCAAATCAGCTCTAAAAGGGAAAGGGTGGAGGTGCTATCACGTGTTATCCCTTCTATGACGAGAGATGAAAGATCAACTTTTTTAGAGGGTTTTCTCCAAGATGACATGGCTGACTTCAATAGCATTCAGCTTCTACAGAATTTCATTTCGCCTGTAAATCCTGAAAGTCTCAGAGAAAACATATCACGAGCAGACAAATACAGGGAAGAATATGAAAGGTATGTTAATACATTCATTCGGTTGTTAAGTATGTATGTCGATTTGATTTTTTTTTGCAATTATGTGTAGACTATTTCGCATCTAATTCTGCATGACTTGTGTTCTGATTATTTGAAAGGATACGTATGGACTAGATCAATTTGACTTGTAGGGGTTGAATTATATTTTGCCTCACATTATCTTCTAGAATTCTTCGCGAAGGGTGTTGTATAGATATCTCGGACCGTGATGGGTTGGAGCACAAATCTTCTACCTAGGAACAGTGAAGAGCAACGAGACGTTCAAGGATGAAGATGCTTTCATAAATGCGGTGTATGCCCAGTGGCGTGCACATTCTTGAGCGGTTTTGAGTTGGGTTATCGTCGGTTCCTCGCAAACTATTTAATACTCTACTATCAGTAGGATACATTCTATCCTCACAATACTGTGCTAATATACTATACAGACTCCGTGGTATTGGCGGAAAGAAAAACCGCGGAGACGATATATGTGCGCTACACCCGGCTGTGATTATCAACGCAACGGTGTGCCCGTGCACGTGAGAGGGGACTATAATGGAGAGTGGAAATGTACTGTAAGTAAGGATCATTCGAAAGATTGCGATAGAGAGCCAGCCTCAAGGAACAGAAATGTACAACTCAGACATATGAAGTCCTCTCGTCTTGGCAAAACACTCGAAGAATTCAAATCTGGTCAGTTCAGGAGGTGAGAGTTATATTACCCCCGCTGCAATTTTATCACACATGCTCGTTTAGATACCATCTACCTCATATTGATAGTACCTGTTATATTCTCCCTTCTCTCAACTACAGCGCCGCTGATCTCAAACCGAAGCTCGATGATCCGCAAATGCAAAACTTCTTACTTTCCGGTAGGTTTCAAATCAATTATTATTTTATTGATGTTGGCATTGGGCATTGTTACCGTGGTGGACAAATATTAGTTATCGATTGCCTTTTATATATCTATAACCTTACACTCAATTTGTTATTTCATATATGCAGGTCGCATGGACTCTTGATCGACAATCATGTCAGAATATTCGCGTTTCCCAGAGTTCGTTCAAAAATGCTGTGAAGCAGATAGAAATGGAACATACATTCTCTCTTTAGTCAAATGTGATTATTTCCAACAGAAAGATGCAGTGATGTTTAACAGATCTTACTTTGCGCCATCTGCGTGCAAGCATTTCTGGCGATATTCTAGACATGTGAGCGTGCTGGACTGTACTTTTCTGAAAAACGATCTTCGCGGTAAGCCTCACTGCTGTCTTGAATATTCTTCATTTTCTAGCTATTTTTTTAAAATCCGGTCTGGTATCACGATGTTATTTGTGACAATTTTTTTTATACAATCACCATTGAAGGTGTTATCGCTATGATGACTTGCAAGGATGCAAATAATCAAAATGTTCCATGCGCATGGAGTCAACTACCGACAGAAAATCACATCTGGTGGGACAGCTTCTGTAAGAGATTAAAGGTAGATTTCCCATATTGTAAGATTGCTATCGCAGACAAAGATAAAGGTCTGATGAAAACAAATGATAGTCATCAGTTCCCAATAGCCAGGTGTGTTTATATATATATATATATATATACTTACACACACACATTCTTACACACACATACTTATATACACATACACACACACACACTCATTCACGCACTCACACGCACACACACAATATAT